TTGGACGCGTCTTGGGACGTCTTGGGGGCCTCATGGCGGTCGTAGAGGCTTCTTGGAGCGTGTTGGGTGCCTCAGGGACTCCGGAGGGGGTGGGTGGGGTGGTGGAGGGGGGGGTGGAGGGGGGGGGGGAGGGGGAGCGGAGGCGCTCTTGGGAGCCGTGGGGGCCTCTTGGGGCCATCTTGGAGGAGATCGATCAAAGAAAAGGGGAGCTTTAATGAGCACCGCCCCTCGGAAGCTCCAAAAATCGCCTCCTGGACCCCTCTTGGAGCGCTCTTGGGCGCTCTTTGGGCCGTTTTGGGGCTCTTTTGGGCCTCTCTTGGGGCTCTCTTGGGCATATTGGAGCAAATGTATCCAAGAAGAGCAGAGCTTTAATTAGCGTTGCCCCTCCAGACTGTCTAAAATCGTTTCCTGGACCCCTCTTGGATCGCTCTTGGAGCGCTCTTGGACGCTGTTGAGGCAGTCTTGAGGCTCTCTTGGGCCCCTGTCGGGGCCCAGTTGGGACATTTTGGCGCCATCTTGAGGCCTCGGATGGGTTTCGGAAGCGAAAAAGTGAGAACACCAACGACATTGATGTTCCTTAGGGTTTTGAAGCATTTCGGCCTTTTGAGGGCACTCGAATGATGCTCTTGTGGGCACTTGGAACCATCTTGGAGCGGCCTTGGAACGTGTTGGAGCGTCTTCTGAACCATCTTCAGGCATCCTGCGCTATCTTGAGCCATCTTGGAGGCGATCTTGGGCTCTCTGAGGCCCTCTTGGAGCCGTCCTGGGCCATCTTGGACGCTCTGACCGCCCCTCGCCCCTCCTGTCCAGGTCAGTGGGGAGGGGGTAGGGGGAGGGGTAAACCCCTCCCCGAAGGGGAAGAGGGAGGGGTGGAAGAGGAAACGCCCTAAACCACCGACGCCCAGAGGGCTGGTGGGATTTCGGGTCCTGTCCGAGCCCATCGATATCCTCCTGCGTGAGTGCATAATCTTCCTCGCGGCCATGGTTGGCCCACGCGGCGCAAAAATAATTGCGCGCCAGACTATTAGCAGGGGCCATTCCACCATACCTGGTGTAGTGGGAGCTCTTCTGTTTCGGGAACCCGTACTGGTCGCAAAAGTTCACGGGGAAGCCCGGGTTTGCAAACACGGCAGCACAATTCACTGCGTTCGTGCCCGCCGCCGCGTTGCCGACGCCGCCCCGCCGTCTCACGCGAAAGTGCGTTTCGCGTGATCATGTCGCTTTGGGTGCACGGCGCGGTTTTCATTATGGTTTTGCGTCCCCGAGAATTTTCAGAAGTGGGCCTGGCGACCTGCAGCTTTGCGCAACCAGTTGTCACCGCGCCGCGAATTCAGGCGACGCCACCGCCCTCGAACATGCCCTCGAACATGCAGCAAGGAGCATCGCGCGGGCGCTCGCGTTCTCGCATTCGGTCATCCGAGATTCGTCCAACGCTATACCGATCATTTGGCGTTGAAACATTATTTTTTTGAATTGCATTTTGTCGTCGAAAGCTTCGCCCGTATAGTAGCATTACTGACATTTCGGCACACCCCTCACACGTTTCGTGGCCCCGTAGGGAGCTCCTCTGAAGGCTCTAGTGGCTGCGCTCGCATGACACCGCAGCGCCTATGTCGGCACACCCCTCACACGTTTCGTGGACCCATAGGGAGCTCCTCCGAAGGCTCCAGTGGCTGCGCTCGAATGACACCACCGCACCCATACTGGCACACCCCTCACATGTTTCGTGCCCCATAAGGAACTCCTTCGCAGACGATCCCGACAATTGTGCTATTCACAACTGCGAGTGGTCCTTCCCAGATAATTTGCTTATGTTTGAGCGCGTGATGGACTATTTCCCACGGTTCGCCCAACATCCGCCTATAGGGGGACATGCCCGATCTAATGTTTGATGCTGGCCCATCCCCATGCATCGAGGAAACCGGACATATGGAGTTTGAGGTTTCTCTTTTGCAGTACCGGCCTCCGTTTACAGCGTTCGGGCACCAAGGCAGTCAAAACACCAGGCGGACGAGAAGCCGGTCCTGAGGAAGGGGCAGAGGAACAAGAAGTCAAGATCGTGTGATGTCCAAAGGATTTCCTATGTTTCAGGGTGTCCTTGATTTTTTTCTGCATGTAATCCAGGAAAAAAAAAAGGCCGGTATATACTCCATAATATTCAGGACGCATCTTGAGCCAATCGCATCATGGCGCCATCCTCGTCCGCAAGGGGTCGAAAGATCCAAGGCACCCCAGACTCCGAGTTTCGAACATATCGTGTCGGTCGGAGGCTTTGGCTGCTCATCGGCATCCGCGTCCGCATCCTCCTCGTCTGTCTCCGCTGTCTCCTCTCTCCCTTCTCCCTTACCTTCTCCTCGGAGGAGGACAAGGTACCGATACTGCCACCCCTCCATACTTAGGTTCGCCTTTCTGGCCCTCCTGGGGGGCCGTCGCCGACACGTCTGGATTCGCTGCGTCATCCTATTCAGAAAGCACCCCTGGAGAGGGTCCGTGGATCAGGGGACTCGGTACCTGTTTGTTCCCCGCTTTCTTTGCGTCCTTCTCCCTTTTTCTCCCCCCCCTTCGGTGGCAAATCATGGGAGCCTGGTATGATACACTTTCAATTCCGTCTTTAGCGTCGATTCGCGTCTGGGAGTCGATGAGGTAGCGCCGATGTAGCGTCGATTAGCGTCGATTTAGCGTCGATGTTGTGTCGGTTAGCGTCGATTCGCAAGAGCCGACGAGATGGGATGGGAGGCTCCCGTGAGCTGCCACCATAGCGTCCCTCCCCCCTTCCTCCCCCCTCCCTCCCTCCGCTCTCGCAACCTCCCCTTCCGCAGTCGCTTCCGCCTCCGCCGTGAAGGACGGTGTCGACGTCTGTCGCTTCGGAGATCGTCGGTCGCTGCTGCGCGCAGCTCGAGAACCGGAGCAGGAGTGACCCCAAGAGTTCAGAGAAGGGAAAGGTACCCACACCTCTGCCTTCCCCCCGTTTTCATTTTTGTTGGATCTCCAGAAAAGTCTTTGTCGCCACCACTGGATTCGCCCCGAAATCCTGGTCAGAACGCACCCCAAGAGACTCCGGGGAGTAGCAGTATCGGCATTTGCCGGTTTCCCCAGGACGGACCCCCAGAGAGGCCCAGGGGACGATTTTGACCGGGTTCGGGCGGCGACGGCGACGGCGACGGATGGAGGACACGGGAGGACCGAGCAGGAGATTCGTTGCGTTTAGGCGTTAGTTTATTGCGTTTGGGGGGTCTGTGGGGAGGGCTCTGGTGGCCTCTGGGGACCTTCCCCCTTGTCCTGCCCTTCTTGAGCCCGCTCGGGTGTCCCCGTGCCGCCAGCTGCGGGCGGTATTTGGGGGCGTCTCGGGCCGCAAAAGGTAAATGTGCTACTAGTCTGTCCGCATTCGTCCGCTCAGCTTTCCTCCTTCTCCTCCAAAAAAAATGCGATCACACAAACCTTTGCAGCAGGGACGATTTTGACCACCTATGGCCCTAGTGGCGGTGTCCACATGCGTCTCCCCCACCCAGCACAGCGTTTCGTCGCCACATAGGGAGCTCCACTTGAGGTCCCAGTCGCGGTGTCCACATGCGTTTCCTCCACCCAGTACAGCGCGGTGTCCACATGCGTCCCCCCCACCCAGCACAGCGCCTCGTGGCTCCAAAGGGAGTTTGTTCAGGTCTCAGGCGCGGTGTCCATATGCGTCTCCCCCACCCAACACAGAGCTCCGTGGCCACATAGGGCGCCCCTCCTAAGGTCCCAGCGGCGTGTCCTCATGCGACTCCTGCACCCAGAACACCGCTTCGTGGTTCCATAGGGAGCTCCACCTACGGTCCCAGCGGCGGTGTCCACATGCGTCTCCTTCACCCAGCACAGTGCTTCGTGGCCCCATAGGGAGCTCCACATAAGGCCCCAGTGGCGGTGTCCACATGGGTCTCCCCCACCCAGTACGGCGCTTCGTGGCCACATCGGGAGCTAGACCTAAAGGCCCCAGTGGCGGTGTCCACATGCGTCTCCCCCATCTAGCACAGCGTTTCGTGGCCCCATATGGAGCTCCACCTAAGGTCGCTGTGGCGGTTTCCACATGTGTCTCCCCCGCCCAGTACAGCGCTTCGTGGCTCATAGGGAGCTCCACCGAAGGCGATACCCACAACAGCAGTACTCACAACTGCATATGCATGGGTCTTTCGCCAGGCCAATTTTTCGACATGGCGTTCTCGGTTGGGACTTCTCTGATATTCATGCCCATGCTCTTGAATTTAGTAACGCTTGATGGAGCGCAGTATCATTTCACATGCTGGCTCTTGATAGACCCTTCCTCAAGCGTCGTTTATATGCTTTGGTGCCTCCAAGAATGACAGGCTTAGAGGATAGACGTCGTCTCATTTTCGAAATCGTGTTTTGCTCCTGGACCCGGGCACCATCCAAGAGCACGAACCGCGGCGGTGAGCAAACCCTCGCTGACGGCCCAGAGGTTCCAGGCACCCCCGGCCCTCGCGAATCGCATCTTCCCCTCGCCTGTTCCTGCGCCTCTTCATTGCTTCTCTTTCTTCTCCTCCTCCTCCTCCCCCTCCTCTCCTCCTTCTCCTCCTCCTTCTCCTCTTCCTCCTCTTCCTTCTTCCCCTCCTCCTCCTTTTCCTCCTCCTCCTTCTCCTCCTTCCATTGGTCCTCCGCCGCCTCCACCTCAGCCTTCGCGCCCCGCGTCCGAATCCTCCACACCCGCTCCTCCTCCTGTCCCTCCTCCCCGCCCGCATCCCCTCCACTATTTGCTCCTTGTCGTTTTCTTGGCGTTGCTCGTGCCCTTCTTCGTGGAGGTGGTGTCGGCCGCGCCCGTCCTGTGGTAAATATTCGTGGGGGCAAAAATCATCTCGTTCATCCTCCCCATCCCCCGCCTTCGCATCAGGAGTAGGCAGGGGGAGGGAAGGTGGAGGAGGAGGAGGAGGAGGAGGAAGAAGAGATAGGAACAGGTCGAGGCCTCCATCATTTCTGTCTCCTCCTCACACTGCCTCCTCCTTTCCCTCCCCCTCCTCCCTGCTTCTCCTCCTCGCCCTCCCTTCTGAATAACAGGGGCGGTCGACGAATTCGCCCCCGCGCGGCAGCGGGCTGGCATGCTGGCAGACATGCGGACCGCGCCGGACCTCTCAAAATCATGAGGTTTGTCCCTTTGCGGGCCCCGGAAACAGCAGGGCAGTTTTTTCACCGTTTCCAGAAAAATGTCCCTTGAAAGTGGAAACGGCAAAAAAACGGCGACCAGAAACGGCAAAAAAACGGCTCCAGGACTGGAACCGGAGCCGGAACCGGTCAAAAAACGGCGACGGGACCGGTAAAACAACGGCGTCGGAACCGGCAACAAAAACGGCAGAACGGAACCGGTAACAAAACGGCTCTGTCGTTTCCAGGTGTCCTCGGACCGATAGGGGCGAGTAGGGGCCGGGGGCGACGATAGGGGCGACGATAGGGGGCGACGATAGGGGCGACGATGGGGGGCGACAATAGGTGTCCCAGGACCGGGGGCGACGACAGGGGCGAGTAGCCCGGGGGCTGGCATTGCACGCGTTCGTTCGGGAGCCTCGCCGTTGACACGGACCATCGGCGCCCCGGGATGTGTGGATTGTTCTCCCCTGGGCAATTCGCCCCCATCGTCGCACCGGGTGGGAAGAGGAGGAGGGGGAAGAGGAGGAGGAGGAGGAGGAGGAGGAGGAGGAGGAGGAGGAGGAGGGGGAGGAGGGGGAGGACGAGGAGGACGAGGAGGAGGAGGAGGAGGAGGAGGAGGAGGAGGAGGAGGAGGAGGGGTGGGAGCAGGAGGAGGACAGGGAGGAGGAGGGGATGCGAGCGCTTGTCGTTTTTGTTGCCCAGTGGGGGGGGGACGGGGTCTGGGTACCAGGGGTCGAGCCGCCCCTCGGACCGCGGAATCCCTGTCGGAACGCGCGACAGGGCAATTCGGGGTGCTCGTAGTCGTCGGCGGTCGACGGTCGAAGCATGCTCCTGTTGCTGCCGCCCACGGACGGGCCTACGTAGGAAGAGGAGGAATCCGCGCCAGAGCGTTCTGGAACGCTCTTGGAGCCTTCCCGAACGCTCCTCGAGCGTTCTGGATCTTTCTGAGAAGGCCGCGATGCCCGATACACCCCCCCCGCCAGATCTACGGATTTTTCGATATCCTTGTCCTGGCCTCGTCTTGAGATGGGTAAGTGTGGCCCCGGAGGCCAGGAGTGTACCCGTGCTCCCGGTTTGGCTCCTCGTGTGGCGTCGGGGCGTGAGCAGGTCCACGGATACAGCAGTGTCGATCGTGAGTGATCCGTTGATCTCCAAACGTTGCCAAACCAGTCAAGCAATTGCCTTGGCATCTCCCGGACGGGTGCATTTTCCTTCGGCGAGGACAATCTAGGAGCATCCTTGATCTTTTGACGAAAAAGCCATGCACGAGACTGAATAAGCACATGGAATGGACGTCCGAGCGATGGCCAGTGATTGGAGGGTGAAAGAGGGGGTCTGCAACAGGGGGTCTTCAATGGGGGCTGAATGGCCCATGTATGCTCAATGTATCGCTCATGTATGTGATCGGGTACGATTGGCATCCAATGCTGGCGGTCATTGGTGGCCAGTCATTCGTGCCCGCGCGTTGCCCGCGCGGGCACACGCGCCGTCCATCCATTACCGTTCATGCGTGCTGGCGTTCTTGCATATTGAGCGTGGGTCGGCGAAGTGGAGTGCAAGTGTGTCTTGATTGTGCGGTTGATGATCGCGTATGTTCCCAAACGATGATTTCTCGACCCCCAAGACAGATTTGGAATGGGCCCCGCGATTCTCCAAAAATGTGAGCTCACATTTTCCTTTTTCCCAAAATGTGAATTCACATTTCCCTTTTCCAAAAATGTGAATTCACATTCTGGCCCCTTCATAAAGAATCCTACACAAATTTCCAAAATGTGAAGTCACATTTTCCTTTTTCCCAAAATGTGAATTCACATTTTCCTTTTTCCCAAAATGTGAATTCACATTTTGCTTTTCCCCAAAATGTGAATTCACATTTTGCTCTGGCCTTCAAGATCCCCAAAACTGAGGCGCAGTGTTCCGCGTGCCATATTGGCTGGGCAGATTTCGACACTCACCCGACCGCTCTCGTGTGTTCCAGCCTGTTCTTGTTGCGCCCTTAGCGCACGTTGCCTTCGTCGCCTTTCCCGAGCCCCCCGCCCCCTTGTTTCCTTTCCCCTCAAGTCTCGCGCGCGGGTGCAGGCGGGGGGCTTCAATTAGTTCCCCCGCCGAACACAGCAATCGAGGATGTATCGCCCATTCATGACATTAAAAACCATCATTGCCGGGACCCTGCGCCCGACCCCCACTTTCACTTTCCAAAGTGAGTGATCCGTTGATCTCCAAACGCTGCCAAACCAGTAAAGCAACCGCGGACGCGCATCGCTAAGGGGCCCAAGGCTTCAATGTAAACACGCAGGGCTTTTGTTCAAGATCGACGGTTTGTATGAGATCGGCAGTGTTGCTGTTGTGTTTCCAGGTCGAGGATCAGCTCGCAGCCCATTTGCTCGTGTTCATTCCGCTTTGAGTGCTGTGCAGATATGTGTTCAGGTGTCACAGTGCCACAAGCCTGACGTCCATATTCGCGGGCGTCGTTTTTAGAGCGTTTTTGTCGAGTCATACACGGAAAGTGGGAAGTGGACAAAACGCCCCCAGCGTTCTTAAGAACATTAGGCCCCAAGGGCCATCACATGGCGCAGGGTCAGCAAGGGCACCGAACAACGGCGACCGCCCTCACCACCACCAGGGCCCTGTCACCGCGTGTTGCCAGCGCCGTGTTCTGAGCGCGTTCCCCCCTCCCCCCGCGCGCTTCTCCTCCCTGCGCCTTCCATGCCCAACCCGGTCACGTGCATCCCACGTCTGTTTTGACACTCGGCTAGACTCTTGCCGCTGCGAAAAGACATTGCCAGGGTTGCCCCTTGCCCAGAGTTGCAGCTGGCGGGGGGCATGGCGAGGTGGCCCAGCAGTAGTTCGCGCGAGCAGGAAGGGGGGGAAGAGGTTAGAGGCTCTGGGTTCGACGAGGTGCTTTGCCTCTTTCGGTGTTTGGGTGCCGTTATCGCACCTCGGAGTCGGCAAACCTGGACCGTGGAAAACTGCACCATAACCGAGCGCGGGCGATAATAAAGTACCCCCCCCCCCTTTCCCCCCCCCTCTATGTTTTAGCCCTGTCCGACAGGATTTCATTGTAGAGATAGGCGCGGGGTCCGAATTTATATAATCCACGGCGGAAGGTGCGAATCGAACCTGCTATCTTCTCATGCTGACTCGCAACAGCATCAAAGCCGCTGAGCATGGCCACGGTGGTCTACCGCACCAGCGCCCGCAACCACGAGCGCGTGGCAGGGTTGTGGAGCTTTCGACAGTTCAGTTTGCCCAAGCTACGAACGCGCGGCAGGGCCATGTGATTCGCACTTTCTCAGCCGTTCCCGAGTCAAGAACGCGTGGCAGGGCCATGGGGGCCGATTGTATTTTGACTGTACATGCGTTTTTTCGAGCAGGCAGAGCATCGGAGTTAACTCGGCAAGTATGTTTTAGCGCACCCCTCACACGGTTCGTGGCCTTTTCTTCCTCCTCCTCCTCCTCTTCCTCCTCTGCCCCTGCAGCTGCGCAGGCCCGAGATTCCCCGAGTCTCGGAGACCCCAAGCTTTCGAGCCTCTTCGGGGCGCCGAGCCTCTTCGCCCCAGGGGCAGCGATAAAGGGGGGGGGGGGGGGGGGGGCATGCTGAACTTGCCCAGGAACATGCGGTTTCGCGATCGGGCGCGCATCGCCGATGCATCGGCGATGCATCGCCGATTCAAGGTCGATGTCCCCCTCCCTCACTCAGTGCCTATCCCCCCCCACACCGTTGCCCCGGATTGCGTCTCGAGCCTCGGCCATGTCCCAGGCCGCCGAGCGCGCCGCGGCGGCGAGCTCCCCCGTCGAGGCACTTACGCAGGTGGCGGCCCAGAGCCCGAGCTCGAACGAGACCCTCGAACGCATGACCAAACGGGGCGCTGCAATCTTCGACAAGCTCTCGTGCGTCGCCGACAAGATCGCGATCGCCGAGATGCGCCAGTGCCAATCGAGCGCACACGTCGCGAATGCAGCGAGGATGACAGCCTGCTTTTCAAAGCCGAGATCGCCTCGTGATCAAGCAGCGCCCAGCAAGCCGTCCTCGAGATGGCTTGCAACGGCGGGCCTCTCAAGAGGATCGAGTGCGGCCGCAGCTTCAACGAGAACGACAAGAGGCGCATCGAGCTGGCCGTGGCGTTGGTGCACAAGGCCTAAAGCGAGAATGGCGAGCGCGTTTACGACATCTTCGAGAACCGCGGAGAGCCGCCCGAGGACCTTCTGGCTGACGCCGACCTTCAATGCCCAGACGCACGAGCTTTTCAAGAATAAGGACATCGATCTCGGCGCCGAGAGCGTCAAGGGCCTCGCCCACGGCCCCCGCGCCGAGCGCGTCGGCAAGGCCCTCCCCGACATCCCTGCCAAGCTCCTCCACCTCCACGACTCAGTGCTGCCGACCAACGAGGAGTTCGAGCCCGTCGATCAGCGGGGCGAGGGGCCCCCCGGCATTGCCGAGCAGCTCTTCCAATTGATTCCGAGCACGGCCACGCAGTGCGTCAAGTGGTGCCGCGACAGCGGCGCGGGCCCGAGCAGTGACGGGGCCGCCAAGGCCACCGCGCAAGCGGTCGTCAAGTTGTGCTGGGCCGTCAAGGAGGAGAGCCGACATGAGTTGCGAGCTCCAGGAGCTGGGTCACCAGGGCGAGCGCGCCAAGCGGGGCGATTCGAACACCGCCAAGCAGCAGGAGTTCGCGACAACGCTTTTCGACAAGCACATCAAGCGGCATTTCAAAGTGTTTGCCAAGATCCACGCCGATTACGACCAGGTCGCCATGAACAAGCGCGAGGGCGATGGGGGGCCAGGCCGACGCGAAGGCCGAGCCAGAGACCGCCTCGTTCATGCTCGTGGGCGCCTGAGAGCCCGGCGCGCGAGCGCCCCGAACCAAGCGCTCCCATGTTTTGTTTCGCTACGAGGGCGCCGTTTCGAGGCGCGCGCTCGAGCCCCATTTGCTTTCGAGCTCCAAGAGAGCGTTCGAGCACGCGCGAGTGGCGCTCCAGGCTGCGGGGC